GCCAACAGCAACATCCCAGGGAAGGTTCCTCTGGGCCCTGTGTGTCACTCCGAGTCCTTACACTTTGCTTTTGTTTCAAATGTTGTGTTGGCTGAAAATCCCAAACAAAGCAGCGGCACGGAGGATGGTCAGCAGTAAAATAACAGGGGGGGGGGAACGGGACAACAGGACAGAAACACATTCACAAACGGTGCCGTTTCCTCCTCGTCCATCCCGGGACCGGGCTCCACGAGCACGGGGACAAATCCTGAGCAGGAGGGAGCCCCTGCTGCTCTCACTGCACGAGCAGAGCACTGTCCTGCACACAGGGAGCACGGCTAAGAGGGGAGCAGATCATCTTCAGGCATTAGATGATCCAGGGGAATGATCACGACACAGGGTTGGGTGGCAGCCTGTGAATGCAACAAAGCCATTGCAGCTGTAGCTCCCGAGAAAAAGTTCCCTGCAGCCTCCCAAGCCAGGCATTTGCTTCAGATATTCCAGCTGGGTGTCAGTGCAGATTAATCCATGCCACTGGGTTGGGTTTTTTTTCCCCCCCGGTCAAGATTCCAGGTGCAGAGGTGTTTCAGAGCCCCCCCGCCCCGGGGAGGATTCACTGGGCCAGGCTCCCCTTCTGGCCTGTCCACAGCTCCCTCAGCTCCACTTTGCAGCCCAGATCCCTCAGAGCAGCCTTGGCCACGTCGTCGCAGTCCCTGTGGGCAGCACGAGCCTCTGTGATCAGGTTCTCAGCTCCCATCTCCAGGATGGGCTGGGAAAAGTCCCGGCTCCGGGAGACCAGGTTGCGGATCAGCATGCAGGCCTGTTTCTGGGGAGAGAGAGAGAGAGAGACATCAGAACCTCCTGCAGGGAAACCCCATCCCTGCAGGATCTGCCTCCAACCAAGGCATCTTTTCTAGGAAACCAAACTGAGATGCTGCAGGCAGCAACAAACTATTTCCTGGAACAACAAAGGGGACAAAGGCATGGAAGCTATTTCCCCTCGAGGTTCACACAACCAGAGCTCCTGCTTTGGTCAGGACACCAGCAAATCTCAAACACCAGCCAGGCAAGACCAATTTGTTCTTTAAATACTAATATTTAGTATTTAAATACTCATATTTAGTATTTAAATGAACAACACTAAGAACTCTCTAACGCAGCAGCCCCACCTTCCCCGGCACTGAGCTTAAGCCTCTCCTTCAGAAAACACTTTCTTTGGTTTTTTTTTTAATGTTCTGAGGAGCACAACAGTGGGCAAAGAACCTACTGGGACCCACACAAGAAACAAGAGGCAAAACTTCTTGCCGTGCAGGTGTTTTACTTGACTTTGTAGAACTGATGGCACAGGCTGGGCCCGAAGGAGCTTATCCTCAGCCTGCCCTTTCAAAGAGGAGGCAAAGTAATGCCTGGAAGAGGAGCAGGGCATTCCATGGTTTTATGAACCTGAATTCATTCTTTGTGGCTTTGAAACCCAAACCAAGTCTGGCTCTGATCAGACCACGGTGCCAGACGCAGAGGGGTTCTGCTGCCCCGCCAACACACCCAAAACCCGCTGGAATCTGCCAAATCCCAGGGAAACAGGAACCACAGCCAAGCCCAGCCCTGAGCAAAGCCCCAGGTGCCCTGGGACACCTACCTGGACAGCCACTTCTCGGGGGTGAGCCTTCATGGCCTGCAGTGCTGCCAGGGCCCCACCGCCCTCCATGATGACGCTGCAGTTCTCGGGCTTCCGAAGAGCCAACATGCAC